ATTTTTTATTTATTGTAAACATGATAGAACAAAAAAGCTTTTTTCAGTATTCCTACATCATCTTCGGTATTCAAATTGATACGTTGTTTATGTGACCAGATATATATAAATAAATAAATATATATATATATATTATTACGGAAATTTATATACAGCGCTTTTTAATTGTTAAAACCCAAAAGCGCTACTGAATCATAGACAAATAAGACGGATGTTTATTGTGCAAATAAATAAGTTTTAAGCTTACTTCGAAATTGTAAATATGGTAGGTTAGGGTCACGTAAGTATGGAGGTAAACCATTCCAAATAACCGTGTCAAGAACCGGTTGATCGGAAGGAATATTTTGAAAAATGAGATTTGTATGATTCCAATCTATCAATGAGCTAGGGAGGTGCTGCATTATTGACACATTTAAATATCAAAACTGCTAACTTGAAGAAAACACGTTTCTCAAGTTCTCAACCAGTGCAACTTATTCAAAATAGGCGTAACATGATTGAACCACCCAAAGCCAGCTTGGCCGCACGATTCTGTATTGACTGAATGACTGAAGCTTTAAAAATGACCTTTTGGTGACACTATAAAAAAGACCATTGCAATAGTCCAGTCTGGAAAAAACGAAAGAGGAAATCAAACTTTGAAGAACAGACGTGTTTAGTGATTTTCTGACATTGCGTAATAAACGCAGTTGGTTGGAGCAGACCCTCACTAACTTATTAATATGTAAATCCATCTTTAGGTTTGATTCAATAACAACTCCAAGACTACGGACAGATGGGAAAAATTCAATGATGTCATTGTCAATACAGATTGATGAAATTTTGACCTTTGACAGCTGCTGCCATGAACAAACCGGTAATATTTGTGTCTTAGATTGGTTTAACTTTAACTGATTCATACTCATCCAAGAGCTAATTTCGATAAGACAATTAATCAGTTTATTCAGAGAAGCGTCAATCGAATCAACAGGACAAGATACCAGAATATTATCAGCAAAGGCGTGGGAGCTGAACTCATATTTTTGANATTAAAAACAGCAGTGTACCTAAGAAACAACAGAGGTCCTAACAC